TTTTTTTTTTTGTGGAACCAGGGATTGAACTCAGGTCTTTGCACTTGCCAGGGAAGCGCTTATTCTACTGAGCCATCTCCCCAGCCCTCTGTAGTGTCTTCTAAAGGTGACCAATGAGTGGTTTTTGTTTGAAATATTTTGCGGTTAGTATTTTAGCATATATGACACGTATTTTGGTGGGGGATGGGGCAGGGTCTCACTTTGTAGTTCAGGCGGCTTTGAACTCACTGTGTAGCCTATGCTGGATTTGAATTTGCAGGGGTCCTAATCCTTCTACCTCAGTTTCCAAAGTGTGTGTGCTCCACCACGCCCAGCTAATTTAGTATATTTGATAGGTTTTAGCCATTGATGTTTTTGTTGTTGAAGTCTATCTTATAGAAGTCTTTTCATTTGGCTATAGAGTCATGGGGGGTAACTTTGCATTTTAACATAATTTTAAACATGCATAAGAAAAGTACAAATAATTTGCATATGTCCTTTATCTAGTTTCACGAATTATTTAACTTTGTCCCATTGCTTTATTATTCATGCATTTCTTTTTTCTGTTCCCTTTTTCTTAACCACTCTGAGAGTAAGTTGCAGACATTACCTTTTTACATGAAGTACATCAATGTGTACTCCCCCACCCCCATGGAAGAATACACACTAGGCAAGCACTCTAGCCCTGAGCTACATCCTTGTTGGTATGTATTTCCTGTAAACAAAGGCATTTGCTTAGTTGACCACAGTATAATTATCACACTGAAGATATTTAACATGGGATGCTTTTGCTTTTTGATACTGGGGACTGAACCCAGGCCCTTGCGCTGAGGTAATTCTCCTTCTTTTCTTTAATTTCCTTGAATTTGTGGTTCTCCCACCTCAGTCAGCATTTTGTTGATGACTTTTGCACTCATGTTTATGGGGAATACTGGCCTATGGTTTTCTTTGTTGTTGTATCCTTCTCTTTAGTAACAGGGTAATTCTGGCTTCACAGAATCAATATGGGAAGATTTTTTCCTTTTCAGTTTTATGGACTAGCATGAGAAGAATTGGCATTAGTTACTCTTGCCAAGTTTGATAAAGTTTTATAGTGAGGCCATTATGTCCCTGAATTTCTTTCTTTTTTTTTTCTTTCTTTTTGTAAGAGATCTTTTAATTCCTGATTTTACCTCATTACTCGTTATTGATATTGTTTTTTTCCTGTCTTGTTGGTTCAAATATTTCAGTCATATGACTCCCAGAATGTGTCTATTTCTTCTTGATTCTCCAATTTATTAGCATATAACATGTCACAATAGTCCATAATAGTCTTTAGCATTTCCATTGTATTATTTTAAGTGTATATTTAATTAATCTTCTGATATTTGTTATTTCTTTCCTCCTAATTTTGGGTTTGTTTTGTTTGAGCTCTTCTAAGTCATTGAAATGCATCATTATACTTTATCTAAAATACTTTTTTTAGCATTGTTTTTGCTTCATTCCACAAATTTTGTGTACTTCTTGCCATTTCAATTTTTAAATTTCTCTGTAGACTTCTCAATAGCCCACTGTTTAGAGGTGTTTTGTTCAGTTTCCATCTTTCTTTCTTTTTCTTTCTTTCTAAGTGTATTTGGTTGTTGCAGGGTCTCATTGTGCAGCTCAGACTCATGATCCTCCTACTTTCAGTCTCCCCAGCCCTGGGATTACAGGGGTGCACCACCACACCTGGACTCTGGCTGGCTCAGCCTGCCCTGTGGCCAGGGCTGGCACAGCATGTGGTGTCAGAGGTTGACCTCAGTCCCTGTGCTTGCCTAAGCTTGCCTAAGCATGCATTTTAGTCTGCTGAGCTATCTCGCTGGTCCCTCCATGCATTTGTTTCTCATTATTGTTATTTTGGTTTTTTTTTTGTGACAGGGTCTCACTGTGCAGCTCAGACTAGCATTATACACACTATGTAACCCCAGCTGGTCTTGAATTCACTATGGTCCTCCTGCCTCAACCTCCTTAGTGCTGGGATTACAAGTGCGAGCCACCCCTTCTACACATTTGTGTAATTTCTAAAATTCTGTTTGTTGTTGCCATCTGTTTTCATTCCATTGTGGTAAAATATGTGCTGGATCTGATTTCACTTTGTTTGAATTTGTTAAGACTTGTTTTGTGGTCTAATATAGGGTCTATTTCAGAATATTCCATATGCTAATGAAAACAATGTATATTATACACCTGTTAGAATTTATCCTTGCAAGCATCTGTTAAGTCCACTGGGTTTGTAGTACAGTTTAATCTGATATTTCTTTGTTGATTTTTTTTTCTCTAGATAATCTGTCCCCTGATGATAGTGGGATGCTGAGATCCTCCCCTGTCATCATGTTGGAGCCTGTGTCACCCTTGAGGTCTGGCAGTGTGTTATAAAGTTGAGTGAATATTATATTTTGTCCAATCAAGCCCTTGATCATTATGTAGTAACTTCTGTTACTTCTTAGGTTTTTGGTAATGTCTATTTTGTTTGACATAGTATTAATTACCCCTGCTTGCTTAGGGTTCCATTTGCTTAAAATGTCATTTTCCATCCTTTCAGTCCTGTGTACCTGATGAAGTTTCTTACTGGCAGCATGATGTGGGGTCTTGTTATTATTTTCCTCTTCCTTAATTCATTCAATCTATAGATTTTAATTGAACAATTAATCTACTTACATTGGAGGTTGTTATTGAGAGGGAAGGATTCTTACCATTTTGTTGATTTACTTGTAGTTCTTACTATTATTTTTTGTTTGCTTTATCTTT